CCCCCCCCCCAAATCCCCGCCGCAGGAACGGGCGGGCAGAGCCCCGCACCGGAGCCCGCGGCTGCGGTTTATCCGGCGACCCGGGCTCAAAAGGCAACGGAGCCGCCGTGCGCCTCGCACAAAGGCGACCACGTCCCCCAGCCCTGTGCCATCCCCCTCCCTCCCCCGCAGTCGTTTCGCACACCCCGGAGGATATTTAGCGTTCAGCCAAAATTTAACGCTCGGATAGTGCGCTTCTGACTCGCCCTTTTCAAATAAAAGCCCGTTTAAGACGATAAAACCCCACGAAGCAAACCGGGCGAAACTGCTTCCAGGGGCTGGTGCGCGTCCCCGCTCTTGTTAAAAAACTTTGCGCTAGTCTATACAAAACAAACAGTGTCGCAAGCTCAATAAAGCGATTTATCCATCTTCATTACTTAAAGAAATGTTGTCTCTTTGTTTGTTTGGGAGATATTAAGCATGCTTAGCTTGCAACACATAGTTGATTCCTTTGCTAGTATCTTGGATACTTGGATCTGACTTTGGAAGGTAGGAGCTAATTGCTAATAATGGAGAGAAAGGAACCAGCCAGCATAGCGGGAGTGGCCTGGCATATGGGGAATGAGCACTCTGAAATACTCAATATTCAAGTTTCCAAAATATTAATGAGATTATAGCAACCTGCAGCTATACGTTACAGCTTGTTAACGGAGTGTAAGAGAGGGGGGCTGCCAAGCGGTTGTTATGCAAACTCTATAGCTGAACCTTAAAATGGAAATGTGGCTGGGTATGTCTTTCAAAGAAGCGTTCAAAAAAAAAAAAAAGAAGAAGAAAAAGACCCTCAGACGGCGAGTGCCGCGCTGTAGCTGCGAGCACCGACTGCGCCATGCGGTGCGCTCATCTGCCGCGGGCAGGGACCCCCTCCGAGGACGCGGGGAGCAGTTCGATCCGCGCTTTTCAACCCCCGCGCGGGTCCGCAGCCGCAGAGGCAGCGCCCGGGACGGCGGGGCCGAGGGAGGGTGCGCGCACCCCTCCGACCCACGGCCGCCCCGCCGGCACCCCCGGGACCCCCTCCGCGGGGTGCTTCCCCCAGTCACGGCGGCAGCCGCGTACCCAAAACAAAACAAATAAACAAAACAAGACACCCCCCCCTTGCCCCCCACATTGGTGATATTTTGCTCCCCCGCATCACTCCCGTGCCGGGAGCCCACGCGTGCTCCCTAAGAAGCGAGACCGGCTCCCAGAGCCCAGCAATAAATGCCGTAGACCAAAGGTGACCCACCCCGAAAAAGCTGGCGGGTTTTAGGAAGGGAAATGACCCTACCGATGAACTTTTCACCCTGCAGGACCGTACCCCGCCTCGGCAGGTACGGGGGGGCGGCGGCCGCCGCGGCCCCCGGGGGTTGCGGCGGGCAGGGCGGCAGCCCGGGGTTACCGGGGGGGGGCAGGTGCGCCGGGTTAGCGATCACCCCTTAGGACCCCCCCGCCCCCCAGGTGTCACCTGCTGAAGCCAGCGGGACCCCGGCACCGGCACGGCTCCGGCTTAGCCCTGGGTCTGGTGTCACGGGCAGGCTGGGCAAAGCATCAGCCCTCCCCCCCCGGGTTTAACCCGAGTCCAGGGGCCACATCCTGCTCCTCCGGCGCCGCTCGCGTGTCCCCAAAACTCCGCCGGCTTTCCCCGCCCGCTCCCAGCCCTTCCCGCACGGCTTACACCCCCCCGCGAGACAGACGAGGCTCCGTGGGGGTACCCGCTCGTGTCCCCGACCGCGGGGGGGGGAGGCTGGAGAGGGGGAGGGGGAGAAGGGAACGATGTAACCCGAGCGGCGGCGCGGGGACAGGCGGGTACCGAGCAGCGCCAAGCCTCTCGCCCTGCACTTGTTGCAATTACCCCGGCTCAGCTGGGGACGGCGGGACGGAGATGGGGCCCGATCCCGGCGCTGCAGGCAGCGGGGGGAGCCCTGCTCCACGCGGGGCACAGACACCTCCCACCACCCCCCGGCCCCAGGGTCCGTGCGGTCCCTCTGCAGGGAACCGGGGCGTCCCGCCCGCCCGGCGCGGTCTGCCGTCTCCGGGGGCATCGCCGTCCCGGGGGCTGTCGCCCTCACCCTCCGCCGCCGGCTTTTGACACCAGCCCGGCTCGGGGCGTGTGAGGAGAAAAAGCTAAACTCGACCGCGCTTTCAGGCTGGTTTTGGTTTGGTTGTTTTTTGGTTTTTTTTTTCCCACGTTTATTTGATCTCAAAAAAAATTTTAAAATTAAAATACATAAAACAATGGCAGCTGGCTTTGCTAAAATGAAAATAAACGATTCTTGTCGTAGAAAAGTTGTGGGTTTTTTTTAAAAAAAAGAGAAGCAGAAATAGTAGCAAACACTCCATAATAAATACGTTTCCTATTACCACAAAAGCAAAATAAAACGGACATAAAAGTTTGACACGACAAAACTGTTTTCGTTTTTAAGAGAGCGTTAGGATTAAGTGGCTTAATTAGATATTGGTCTCCAATTGGCAGGCAGTTAGTAGCTTTCCTCTTGAAACCGCATCTCCAGCCGCTGATAAAGTGCTTGCGCCAAGTTTCTCCCCAAAAAGACGCCGACATGGTGCGCTAAGGAAAATCCATCTTTTCTCCGCTATTTACAGGACAAGACGGTGCGTTATTTACTTTTTTTGTGTGTGTGTGTGTTTTTCCACAGCAATACGACCCACGGCAGGATGGGTGTCCTGGAAGACGTGGGTGTCAGCGCGTGTGCACGGCTGGGTGGGGAGGGCGCCGGCGGCACCCCCCCGCGCCGGGCAGCAGCAGCAGCAGCAGCAGCAGCAGCCGCCGCAGCAGCGGGGCCGGACTTTCCTCCTTGCGCATCACCTGCTCGCCGGCGGCGCAAGCCAGGCTCCGCGCGGCAAGGCGGCGTGTTGGCAGGAGGGAACGGCAACGACTTCTAGGCAAAATAAACTTTTGACAGTAGTAACTAAAAATGAAAAAAAAAAACAAAAAACCAACCCCAAACCAAAAACCAACCCCAAACAACCGACCCTGACAGATAGGGCGGGCACAGTCACTCGCTAACAGCCATCCCCCTGGACGAACCCAGGAGCTGCCGGGGGTGGGAGAAGAGGGGGCGGATTTCAAAGCGACCGAGGGGAGCCGGTGCCATCCGAGACGGCACGGCGGCCGGCTGCTCACCCCACGGCGGAGTCCGTGCTCCGAGGGGCGGCCGCGGCCCCGGGGGGGTGCTGGGGACGGCGCCCCCGCCCTAGCTGGCCTCGTCGGAGTCGCTGTAGTGGGAGCGGGGCGAGAACTCCCCGTCGCTCCTGTGGGACCGGGGCGACGTTTTGCTCCTCTCCTGCGGCGGCTGCCCGGGCTGCGGCATGAGGAGGGCGGGGGAAGGGGCTCTCTGTCCCATCAGGGCGCCCTCCGCAAAGGCGGGGAAGTGCAGCGGGTCGAGCTGCACCGAGTAGCCCCCCGCGGCCGGCGGCGGCGGGGGGAAGCGAGTCCTGCCGTGCCCGGGGGGCGAGGCTCTCGGCGGCCCCGGCTGCG